TTGCCAAATCAGCAAGGCGTTGTGTTTCAAAAAGGTCAAGAAGAAGAGGCGTTGGAAGCCGCACGAACAGGTCGCACTAAGCTCGAATCTTGGTTTCAGCTAAACGTGATTGATCCAAACGCCCAAGATTTTCTCTAGAACGACATTCCCTACAATAATGTGTATATCAACAACAACCGGAAGCAGCGACAATGAAGAGGCACTAAGATCGTTGCGAGATTGTACACTGTTGGAATCAAAGATGAGGAGCAATTCTATCTTAGGATGCTCTTGCTGCACGTCAAAGGCGCTACCAGTTTTGAATTCCTCAGAACTGTCGATGGCGTCGTTTACACCACATTCAAGGAAGCTGCCTTTCATCGTAATTTGCTGGATTCAGACAAATAATGGGATCATTGTATGCAGGAGTCCGTAACATATCAAATGCCGAATCAAATGCGACAGACGTTTGCGTACATTTGCTGCGTCTGTATGCCAACAAACACTGGCGAGTTGTGGAACAAGCATTCACTTGACATGTCGCTGGATTATCTACGGCGTCATGACGAAAAATGTTGCATTGAACATGGATCTGCACGACATCAACGCGATTCTCAAACAACATGGATTGTCTCGCGCATCAATTGGTATTCCGCAACCTATAGGACATCCAATCGAACCTCAGCTATACGACGCAGTGCAAGAAGAACAAGAAGCTGAAACGAGAATTTGCTCCCTTAATGGAAAACAGTTTGGCTTTCACAGCAATAATGAGAGCTGTCGACAATGAGCATGTCCACAACAGACTTTTCTACTTAGATGGTCCTGGCGGCTCTGGAAATACTTTTTTGTACCCCACGCTGCTCTCGTTTGTTCATGGAAAAGGTCAAATCGCTCTTCCTTCTACGACCACTGGAATCTCTGGGACTTTATTGTAAGGCTGACGAACTGTGCACAGCGGATTAAAGCTTCCAGTTACCCTCCTCGACACATCTTATTCGTCGATGAGACTGAATTCGCCAGAAGATGAAACGCTACGACAAGCTTCGCTCATCATCATTGATGAAATTACGATGCTGACAAAGCATGGCCTTCGATGCATCGCTCAGCTGTTGCGCAACATCATGCAGATTCAATGGCCGTTTGGTGCAAAAGTCGTTGTAATCGGTGGCGACTTCAGACAGACTTTGCCGGTTGTAACAAAAGGCACCCGTGTTGATGTCACCGAGTGCTGCATCAAATCCAGTGTATTATGGCAGCTTCTTACCAAATTGACTCTCACGGAAACCTTCAGAGTGATGGTCAAAATGAGCATAACAATTGGCTGCTGAAAGTTGCATTGGGAACTTTGCCCGAGATATATGGAGTGCCGTTAGGTTCTATTGAAATTTCACCTCAAATGATAACCGTTGATGATCTGGTCACCGCAATTTACAGTCAGAACTTGCGACACATGCCTGCGGAAGAGCTTGCAAAAAGAGTAATTCTGGCACCTACCAACAAGGACACTCTCGAAATGAACCAAAACGTAATCACACAGCTCTCCGGAGATCTCTGAATTTATTACAGCTCTGACTCGATCGTGTCGGAAGATCCTACGGACGCATTGAATTACCCTCCAGAATGTATTCATGATCAAACGCCTTCAGGAATGCCGCCACACACATTGGCACTGAAGACAGGCGTTATCATCATGCTGCTGCAAAATCGGAACCCGAAGAACGGTCTTTGCAATGGAATGCCTTTGATGCTCTTATCATTACAAAATAACTTAATCACCGCAGAGATTGTATCGGAATGCAACCGAGGCGAAATCGTCTTCATCCCGAGAATCAACCTAGCTCCAAGTGACGTCACTCTTCCTTTCGTACTGAAACGACGACAAATTCCGACAATTCCTGCGTATGCGATGACGATCAACAAGTTGCAGGGTCAGACTTTTAAAAATGTGGGTATTTATCGCAATGGACACGTATTTTCCCATGGACAGTTGTACGTGGCTCTGTCTAGATCTAAAAATCCTCAGCGGATCAAAGTGTTCATCAAGGATAGTCAACTGCAGCGAAACCTTTTGAACAGTGATAAGATATTCACAGAAAATATCGTATACCGAGACATCTTCCAAAGTCCTTAATTTCATTTTTTAAGTTAAGAAAAATGTATTTACGTGCAACAATTCCTAAAAAAATTACAATCACACGAGAAAAGGTTAATGTACATCTTTAATATTACAGCTTCCGTCCTAGGACGGGCAAAAGGCTAGTTCGTAATAAAGGTTTTTGGGTTAGATCGCGTTATTATAAATGTATTGCAACCCTCCACCACCCGACAGGGCCAATCAGTAAAAATTGTGTCACGTTGACAAAAGACAAATAGTTCACTACTTTAGCCCACCGGTGTGTTGAAGAGTGAATCCACAACATTTACAATTCGAGTACGCCGTTTCACTGGAAATGACATCCAGCATCTTCAGGCGATTTGACATAATCGTGAAGCCATCCACCTGCTTCCAGTTTTAAATCGTGCAGGATGACATCATCATTGTTGAACCCCCATCAGGTTTCGAGATCAGAGGCGGAGGTGGGGGTGTATGCAATTATGTAATAGATCAGTAATCAGCCACTTTGCATGTGACTCACATGTAAGGAAATGAAATGTGTTGTGTATTACTTAATAATACACTTCTAGGCTGCGCTGAGTCTGTAGCTATCACAGCGGTTGAAATTATTTGAATTCTTCTCAATTTCGATTGATTCTCTAACTAGTCTTGGCCAGTAATAATTAGTTATGCATAACACTTCAACGTTATCAAAATCAATTGAATGTCCTCGTTGGCAAGCATGCTCTGCCACTGCTGACAGTTGTGTTTGGGAGAATTGAATGTTCTTTTGGTGTTCTTTTAGTCTTACGCTAATGTTTATACAACTTATTACGCTAATGTTACCACGTAAGCAATTGTTACGATATATACCTTCTGTTGATAAATTTGGTAATTCATCTTTAGTACAAGACACTAGTTTTTTTATTTTGTGTACTGTACAAAATCTCACTTTCCTGTTTAGCTTTTGCAAAACACGGGCTAATTTGTCAGTAACTCCCGAGATAGATGGTATTTTAATTGTTTTGATAATCTGATCACTTTCAGCATTATTGTTGTTCCGTCTTGGTTTGGCATTCAATACTCTGTAAATTTGAGCATTATTGTCGGCATTCAGTCTTAGTGCTTCTTGTTAATCGGGACGGAACATCTTCACTGAGATTGTATCAATACTGAAGCAAAATACAAAGCGTCGAATGAAGCGATTCACTCACCAACGCTTGTTCACAACAACATTAAAAATATGTTACAAAAATTGTATTGGAGAAATTAAGCATATACATCTATTTTAACTAAGTCAATACAGAAGTCAAATGAAATAACACTATATTGAGTTATTAAATAACTTTACAATGAAAGTTATAAAGTTAAGCTCAGATATATGGGCAAAATAAAGAGTCATACTGTCGGGGAGGCTGACCCCCGGCTCCTCGCTCACGTGGGATCCACTGCTCCCCTCTTCCGTGTCCTGGGGAGGGTTACTGCTCACCGACTCCCCCCCCCCCTTCGCCGCGGCCCCTCGGGGCATGATTCGCAGCTGGTGCTTAGCCACCTGGGGTCAATTTACACAATCTCTGCGCACACTCACTCACACCCACTCACTCGAAATACGAAGTCGCTCCTCTCCCGTGACGCGCACCAACCGCGCGCGCGGGACTGCGGGTCGGGGGTCAGAGGGCAGGGACGTCACTCGCACACGCGCAGCCAATTGGGGGGTTGTCTCGGAGATTTATTTAAAGGACTGTGTGAACAATCTCACGGGTACGCCGCCCGTTCACCTCACGCACACGCTAAACAAAGGCCGCACGAATAATCTCGTGTGTACGCCGCCCGTTTGCCTCATGCACACGTTAAACACAAGGGCGTATGAGTAATCTCACATGCCCCTGTACGAGTCCACCGCCGCTCACCACACGCACACGCTAACCACAAGCTACACGCATGGGCGAGCGCAAACACGTGTGTAAATACACACTCACGCACAAACACAGGGTACAACGACGCACGCCACCATGCGTCCGTTCCACCCTCGCAGAAACTACACGACAAGGTTTATTGATCACCAACAGTTTATTCTCAGCGAGTCCGAGGCTAAATTACCAGAGTCAGTTTGAGTCAGCAGGGCAGGTCTAACCTATCTCTCGATGGTCTAAGACCCGCTCTGTCCCGCCTCTTTCGAATTACTCTCCTAGGATAATCTCACAATGGCCTCAATATCTCACTCTCTGGTACTCACGGTTCGACTCGTATGGAGCTGCTGGGTCGGGTCCTCGCTGCACTTCGACTCGTCACACGGACGTTCGAGTGGCTGGGAAGTCGACGGCTCCGAGCGCTCGCTTGAGTAGAACACGAACTACCCTGTCCCTACCTTCTCTCCTCTTTTATTGTCCTCTACATCAAGGATCAATCGGCGCTGATCCGCTGGCCTCCCGTCTAATCAGGTGGCTCGGATTTCCCGCCACTCTCCCCGGACTGGTGCTCTCTCAGACATCCGCTTTTTACCCTCTAAACAAGCGCATCTGTCCTACCAATCAGAGGACCGGCCCTGTTTTTCCCGCCATTCGTGACTCCGTTCCTCCCTACCTGCCTGCTGACCCGTGTGTGTTGTGGGTGTTTTCTATCCACGGTGGCTCAGCAGCCCCGTCGTGACCACGTGATTACAACCCAAGTCACGGTGCCGCGGTGCGAGTTAGCCTCGGGGGGAGGTCGACAAATTCCCTGGTCGCAGGAAACCGTGAAGTTTGTTCCCATGAGAGGGCTTCTGGGTGAAAACCTGTCGGCCAGGTGACCTCCCCTCGGGGCTCTATGTGGGGGCGTGTGTGTGTTCATGTGGGGGGTGGTGAGGGAAGAGCAGCGTCGGCCCCGTCGCTCGGAGGTGGCGGCGTCGCGGCCACGGCGTCGGCAGGACGGCTTCGCTGCTGCGGCATCACAGTTGCAGGCACGGCTCCGACGGAGCGGCTTCGCTGCTGCGGCACCACAATACACCAGACGTGTGCTGCCTATTATGAACTGTATTTGGTAGTAAAACGAGCAAAATACCAGTGTCTCCAAATAGATTTTACCTGCTATGAAACATACACGAGATGTGTAAACTAAAAACGAAACTTGAACAAAAGGGTTAAAAAGTGCACAAAGAGGCACGGAGAGACCCGTGCTGAGAATTGGAGCGACAGATGATCGAGAGAATTTGAGAACTTACGCACATTGTAGGAGATCACGCTGGGGTGGCGACGTGGCCCAGCGGCAGTATGTTCGTCGCTTGTTTGGCAGAGCGTCCGTGGCTCGAATCCGACAGCCCGCCCTGGTTAATGCCTTGGGGGGGGGGGGTTGTATTAGCCGTAAGATACCGCGCCCTCTGCTTCACAGAGAACATCAAAGATCCCGCAACGTCATTCAAATATTAATGTTATTGTGTTCCGGCGTTTAAATTACCTGCCAGATATATTATTGGTTCTTTCAGTAAAGTCACGTAGAAGGGAAACAATAAAATAATAAAAATATAAAATAATTAAATTCTCACGCCGTTTCGACTGCAACACAAGCAATCATTATCAGGTGTGAAAACCACAGCAAGAAAATTTGAAGGAAAAAAAACCGCCACTTTTTTCAAGAACCAAGAATATGAATCCCTGCAGTCACGAAAGCTTTAAATAAAAATTTTACCTGCCAGTTATTTAAATTTGGATTACAGGGACTCCTCTACTGACGAAAATTATACCTACGAACTTTCAGAGATGCGAACAAACCTGCCCATATGTCCAGTTGCCTGTTTGGACCGAGTCCTAAGTGGTGGCATGTACATCTGCAGAACATGACGAACCAGTGGCATCTACATCGACAGGAGTTTATTCAACTTTTAAAGCCATTCCCCGTGTTTAGTGTACACGCCGTACAACTTTACTCCTGTAGATTTCAAAGTTGGACTTACGAACAGACCTCTGGAACTTAACTCGTTCGTAAGTACCGATGGCAATCGTCGCCCCCCTAACTGGCGGATTTGTGCCAATTTGCCGGCCAAGTGCTGAGTCACATTGTGCCGTGCAGGGGACAGCTGCCACACTGACAGTTATCTTGGAACGTTCGAGATGAGTTGTGATGTAAGGCGCTTCGAGTTGCTGAGGCAATTTAAGTCGCCACATAAATGCAAACGTTATTATTAACTGTGAAATGAAGTAAATTGGCATGGGCAGGACACATTACCGAAGGAATTGTGGAAATTGGGTGAGACTGGTGATGGAATGGCAAGCGATAGAAGGGAGCGACACCCAAGAGGACGATCACAGTGAAAATGGAGCAGAGTTATAAGCTAATGTGCAGGAGCGAGGCATATTGTCGTATGTCAGGACAGTGAGGGATGGTGACGATGTGATGAGGACTTAATCCGGCAGTGGGTAGATCATGACTGGTGATGGTATCACCATAAAGAAAAAAACATGCATCACAAACTCAGTTTTTATAATGACCTTGTGAGAAACATTACCGCCGCTTGAGATGTGTTCTTGACTAATCCGCGAACTAATATTAAAATGCATAGTTATAATATCTATGCAGGCGTAGTTATGGTTTTAAATCAATCAATAATATCAACATTGTTTCTTGCTTGAGTGGGTCGAGCGGTGACACACCGACATGGTTCGAAGTCTTCATCCTTCAGTAGATTGACAGAGGGCTGTAAATTAGTATTATTATTATTATTGCAATATTGCTTGCGTGTGTAGTGACGTATGTGCCTGCATCGTGCGTAGGTTGTTCTTGCGTGAAAGTGCGTAGCCGGCTTTACATCACGCAATTTCATAAGTGCAAAAACACAAACAGCTGAATCAATTTCAATTGAATTCTAACGACATTGTGACTCCAATGAAGAATATATCTAATTAAAAAACAAATTGGACAGCGGTGATATTAATGACAATGCTCTGCTCAACGGCGTCGAAGTATTTAGTCAGAAAACACGCGTGACCACACGATGCACCGAGGGTTTTTCTAAGCGCACTGCACACCTGTATTGTGTATTTGCATGCAAACATTGCGTATGAATGGACTGTCGCCTAACTGCATGTGAGGCATTCATTCATTTGTTCTTCAATTTGAAAATACAATTTTTAAGCAGCTGTCCATCATTCCAGGCCACAAGTACAGCACCGTTTTTGCGATGGAAGTCACGGCGTGCCATAGGTCAACAGTTCTGGTTTTAATTGCCCTGTGGAAACTGGAATCTTTTTCCAAAATATTGGCCATTTTTGTTTTGTTTGTAAATGCACGCATATAATTCCGTTAGAATAGATGGAGCTTATGTTTGCAGTGCCAAACTAGTTACAGGCTCTGTGAATTGGAACATTGTATGGCAATGGAAATGCGTTGCTATAGGCTACACACGCAGTGCAAGCTGGCTAAGTCACTGACATTCGTAATAAATGTTTTTGGGTTAAATCACGTAAATATAAATGTATCGTTAAAGACACCTTTATATTTACACGATCTGTCCCAAAAACCTTTATCATGAAAAATATTGGTTGCGTAAGCCTACGTATTAAACGAAGTCACTGACATGCACATGAAAGTAATCTCCATGCAAAAAAAAGAACCGGCAGAGCTTACAAATAAACTCCCCTTACAAAACTGGAGAATTATCTGGCTCAACCAGGTGTCGTCACATTCCGTATTTCAACTTCCAATATTTAACTTTACGTTTAAATGAAGTGATATGAATTCCCAGCATATACTCACTGGTGCATGGGGGGGGGGGACCAGACAGAAGTATGAATCTGAGTGCTGCACTTTGACGATTGTGTTTAGTTTGTTGTCCTTCCCCTGCACCTCCGATTAGCATGGTTGGCTATGTACGGTGTGAAAGAAGTTCAACACACATGCATACATACGTTCATTGTTTCACAGGCACAACGATGAATCCCACATTAAGAAGATATTGTGAGTTTACAGGATCGTGAGACTTGATGAAGGACAACTCCCACACGTCGTCATCATCATTATTATTCTATCCAAAAATGGATCAGTATTCTTGAAACGTGTTTCTAGCCGAGGCACTATGAGGTTTTTCCAAGAAATCGCATCTGCACCACCGCAGCACTTTTGCATGTCAGTTCACATGGACTTCACATTGACATCAAAGTTGTGTTCACCAGACACGATGGCTCCTCCTGCCACAAGGAAGGTGCTTCTCTCGTGCCCCCGCCCACGGCCCCCAACCTCTCTACTGCGGCGACGGCACTACCCCACTAAAAAATGTGTTCCACCATCCGCCACTGCTTTCGCTTTCCAACGATTCAGCTGCCCACCCCATCCATCCATTACAGCACTGATTGCCATTTAATGCCACTCCTTCTGTTAATTAAATTCATATGAATAATTTCATAACTACGCCACATTCCATGGCTTGTAAATGTATTTTTAATTCATGAGGATATATTCACGTACTTATTGTAATCGTTTGTAAAATGGTATGTTGCTTTGTGAGCTGTAATTTTTTTAAAGATGTATAATGAAATGAAATATCATTACCTCTTTGAGGAAATATTTTTTTGTTATTTAACTGCTGCATGTTTGTTTAATGTGTCTTGGGACTAGTCTTGCAATTAAATTATTTGTACATGGTTGAATAAGGCATTTTCACAGATGCATGATGAATGTTGTGTTTGTCATGAGCTGCTTCTTCAAAGGCCACAAATTATATCACTGTGGCATTTTAAACGAAATTACAATATTTATAATAAATTCAACATCCTGTCCTGTGGTTTTTTGCATGATTTTCCAAATTATTCAGTTCAATCATTTTAGGGAATTATATTGTGTTTTGTAGTACAAGTGTGTCATTGATATGGAGGACAATGTTTTGCCGCATAAAACGTGAAATATGAAATGCATTTCGTATTGTTAAATTTTTATCACCACACAATCTGGGAAGTGCGTATTCTGAAGCTCGTTTAATAACTCATGTATGTCTTGTGCTCAAATAATAATAATCATCTTTAATGCTGATGCACAATCTCTTTCAATGACAGGACCTATCTGGGGTCACTAATGCATTATGCATATGTAAACAAAAGACACATTTATGTCAATCTCCTGCGCTATGTATATGTTATCTTCACACCAGCGATTTCTGGCGTTGGTGCGATGCATCACTCAGTAAATGCTCCGGATCAGCGATGCGCATGGACAACATGTTGTGTGCGAGATAACCTGCTATTTAGACTGTATCCGCATCTCGTGAAATCATAAAAATGTAGATAGATTTAGATCGTCTACCTTTTCCCTCATCAATTGACATCGGATGTACGATGGAAATGTACAAAATACTTTTGTTATCTTACACAGGGATGCCTCGCCGATTCTGAAAAGCTGTTTTTAAAGAAAGTCATGCTGCAAATGTTTAGACAAAATGGCTTTGTTGGTTCATTGCTGTTTGTCAGTGGAAACTGGCGTGCATGGAGAAACCCCAGTGCAGGCAAGTGTACAGGCACTCGGACTGCACAGGGTCAACATTTCGATTTAAAGCTTTCGTGAATGCAGGGATTCATATCATTGGTTCTTTCGGTAAAGTCACGTAGAAGGGGAAACAATACAAAAATAAAACAATATTGTTTTAATAACAATAAAATAACAAAAATATAAAACAATAATACAATATTGTTTTATATTTTAACTATTTTATTGTTTCCCTTCTACGTGACTTTACCGAAAGAACCAAGAATATAGGGTCAACATTGCACTTGCTCTCCCCCTCGCTACAACGATGCAGGACGGGCATCTCGCGATACGTCAACACCGCCTACAAAATTGTTGAATTACAGGCGAGCATCAACACCACACCCAGAATGATAATGCATCTCCCCATCGATCGCTCTCTTCCTGCTGTATAATATCACCGACGCCATCACATGATTAGAGCCTTTAAGGCCAACACTCTACCCTAATGCACCTTCGTCATTCCTGCACTTGGGTCACTTTTGAGGTCAATCAAAATAAAACACAATTTTCACCTTGAAACGGTCTTCACATTCACACCACGTATAGCTCTTCATGTAGCTCCTTATTCTTTGAAATAGAGTTGGTAATAAGTAATTGACTCTTAGGGATGTGTACCGCTAATATTTTTGGATGGAGCGAAAATCCAATGAATGTGGTTTGTTAACTCTTATACTCGACGGAGTCTGCTTTAACCTAAAGTATATGGTCAAACATAATATTGGATGGAACTACGTTAGAGACATTCGCCACTGAAGAGATGCAGCGATGAAATCAGTTCGTGTGCAATTGCTTGATGGATTTTTTTTTTTGCTTCGGAATTCTGG